TGTTTATTGATGAGAGTAAGGTTGTTTGCTGGTTAATTATTACTCTAAAATGCGCTGTTATCTCGAACAGGTCTTTTACGCCCTAAGTAAACACACGGCGCCTGCCTCTGCTGCTTTGCAGTGGGGTTCCTTTTCCGTCTTTCCTGCCCATTATTTCCTTTTCATTGTTGTCTGTTTTTTTCCACTGACACATTGCTGGTAGATAGCAGTTTTCTTCTCCTGAGATTGCATTTCCCTGTGATGGAGTGCTTTAAGCAGAGTCAGGAGACCTGAGTGAGTTTACGCAGCAGCTGTGACTCTGCGATGTGACTTGTATTCTATATTTCTACAGAAGCCCCATTGTCTGTGACTGAACCCTGCACTGAAACACTTAACTCCTGACCGCACCCTCACCCACATGGTCATCTTTTATGGTAGAGATACATGGCTGCTCCTCTGCTCGCACAAACAGCGTAGATGTAATGTGTTATACCTTCTGGTCTCGTCACTGTCACAGGCTCAGCTGACACACCTGTTAGCTGAACTTATTAGTATTCATGTTCGAGCTGGACTTTGGACAAGCTGTGCTGGCCACACATTTTATTTCTGTCCTTCAGTATTCTTACAGTCTGACCTCAAATAATAAATGGAATTAAAAGGCTGTTTTGCTGACAATAATGATAAAATGTTCAGATTGCATTACACAATATAAATCTTCCACCACAATAACAGTTAGTCACAGCCACACCTTTAGCATTTCACTACTCCTTTTCAGTCGGCGTGGTAAGGAGCCTTCCTGCTCTGTGTGAGTCACATGGCGCCCTCTCAGGCCTCCTTCAGCTTCATGATGTCTGCAGTCACTGTGCTTCAGTCCTCACTTCTGGCCTGTTAGACGACTGTGGAGCAGGACTACAGCTAACAATTAGTTTGTTGATTATTTTCCATATGAGTCATTTGGGTCACTGTGTCACAATTTCCAAAAGCCCAAGTTTTTTTTTTTTTTGTCTGACCGGCAGTTCAACACCAGGACGCATTTAGTTTAATATTATGTTTCTGCTTAAACAGCAAATATTCACATTTGAGATAGTAAAACCAATTAACGGATTAACAGTGTGGAGCTTACATGATATTTGCCCAAATCAATCCATTGATTAAAGAACAATTCAGTGTTGTAGCAATGTTGTTAGATCCCCTGTAAAGCCTTTTTTTATTTAATTTAAAACCCATCAGTGTTAGTTTGGAAGAAAACATGGCCAGTAGCAGTGATCGCGGCTGCCATGTTAAACTGTAAATACATTAAACTCTGAGTTAACAGATTGTTCTCTACGCAGGCCTCCGGTGTGAAAGTCACAGATGAAGTTATCGCAGTCTTCAACGACATGAAGGTGCGTAAGGCTCAGGCGAACGAGGATGAGAAGAGGAAGAGGAAGAAGGCCATTCTGTTCTGCATCAGCAAGGACCTCAAGAACATTGTTCTGGATGATGGCAAAGAGATCCTGCTGGGTGACTTGGGAACCACCGTCCAGGACCCATACCAGCACTTTGTGAAGATGCTGCCCCCAGACGACTGCCGCTACGCCCTGTATGACGCCACCTATGAGACCAAAGAAACAAAGAAGGAGGACCTGGTCTTTATCTTCTGGTGAGGGCAACCGTTATCACACATTAAATGGTTCATGACCGTCCTGAAGACAAGACAACATTTGGCTTTAATGGCTTTGTTCCTCCCACTCACAGGGCTCCAGAAAGTGCCCCCTTGAAGAGCAAGATGATCTATGCCAGCTCAAAAGATGCAATCAAGAGAAAATTTGAAGGTAAATAGCTGTTTATGTAGGTATGTATGTATATTGTGGTTTTGTTGATGGATAAACGCTTTGAGAATCACAAAGCTGCAGGCGCAAACATTTTTACCTAAACATAAACGCCAACCATAACCACACCCAGTCTATACCGTAACTTAAAGCGGAACTAATCAGTATTTTTCTATTAACAGTGAGTCAGATGACAAACCCACCGAGAATTGTCACTTGTCAATCTGCAGTCAGTTTTAAAGAGCATCTTTTGGTTCGTTGCTCATAGCGTTGTTTTCGGACACAGCAGCACAACTATCTGGTGAATGTAGCGGAGCATTTAGCCGCCTGTTGGAGCTGAATGGAGAGTGAATATTGGAGGTGGCCAGAATCACAACCACAAATGAATGCTAACATAGCGTCTGGTCTTTTGGATATTCAAATAGGAAATTGTTTGATAGTGTTAATAGATTCTTCCGCTGCCCCCTTGTGGACAAGACAGTAAATGCTGCCTAAAAACCGTCATTACATAAACATAATCTCTCGCTTTAACTAGCCGTCCATTTCTCTCCTCTTTTACCTACAGTTTTTTGTATTTAATTAAGGTTTGAGTCGATATAAATAAATGATTCATAGGGAACATTTTTGTATTTCTTGTTTTATTTATTTTAAATATCATAATCCCATACTAATATCTAATTGTAAACATGTGAGTGCAAACGGGGTTGTGACATAACCGATGACCCAGGGCCAGTAAAAGTTTATACACGCTCTTTCCCACCCTACAGTCATTCATCCATAATACTGTACATACTGTTCAAAGGAAAACATTTAAGGCTGCGCAAAGAAAGAGGGGATTTCTGCTTTCATTGAAGCAACAATAGTGGTATGTTTTGTACAGTTTGCCAGCAGTTCCATTGAAAGGTCAGTGGAGGGTTTGTGTTTTTAAAGGGACAGACGGTTATCAAAAACATGCTCCGTCATGTCCAGACATGGCGCAGTTCAACTGTTTGTAGTGGACAGGTGGCTCACAGGAGCTTGGAATAAACATGTGCACACAAAACAAATGACAATAAACAAATGCCTTTATTTTCTATCCATATTCCCTAAAATGTTTTCATAGTCTGCTTCCATGCTTTATTTATCTCAGAGCTAATGCTGCTTTTCACCAGAAAGTGTTCACAATATACACCACAAAGTGGCTGCTCACCTACAAAACCTCTTTGTATATTTGGATATGTTTATATTATGGATATGTAGGACAGACTCATATGATCTAAGCACTTGTACTGCTTAATTAAAGATCCCCTTCAGACCTCTATTAAGACCATACATACATGTATGTGTCTGATTTCCACATTAAAATCCTTAAGTATTCTTCTACCCCATCATGTCTCCTACTTCACTGTACAGTCCATTCTCAGTGTCTGTGCACTGGTGGCTTCAAGTTTCTGCATCACATTTGTATAAGTTGCGTACTGAACCAGATTTCTATTTTGCATAAACCTTTATTCAGGTAAGGTACAGTTTGTTGAATAGGCCAATATTTTATCTTTATACTTTTTCATATGTTGTACTTTATTATGACAATTTAAATTACCACGAGGGAGGATTTTGTTTTCACCAGATGGACGTACTAAAAGGATATGTTGTTAATAAACGTGATGCAGTGAGATTTATTTTTGTCTGAAAACTTGTACAACATTGTAATTCTAACATGTTTTTTTTAAATATTTATTTCAGGTATTAAGCACGAGTGGCAGGGGAACGGTTTGGAAGACCTCAAAGACCGGCACACCCTGGCAGAAAAGCTCGGCGGCTCGTCAGTAGTCAGCCTGGAAGGAGCCCCTATATAAATATTGCCCCTCCCTCTCCCCTCTCTGGCTTCGATCGAGGCCTTTCAGACACATCTGTTGGGTTTAGCTGTTCATTCCAGTGTGGTTTGGAGAAGGGCAAAAGCAGAACCAGCACCAATTGCAGGACTCTCTGGGTGGGATATTGTGGGTGGGTTTGGGCTCAAGTGACAGACAAAAAAAAATAAATAAATTCCACAAATGCAGACTGTCATTCCAGTTCACGCAACATAAAGAATATGAACAAAACACATACTAAGGAAAAAAAACATTAAGATACAACTGAGGAAGGATGATGATACTGAAATACACATATTGTTCATGTTTAAGGACAGGGTTTTGTTCTTTCCGGGTTCCATTTGAATGATTGCAGAGAAAGGGACAGGCAAAAAAAAAACTAGTTTTCCAACAATCAAATCCTGACAAATAATTGTTCCAACTACATTTATTTTTTTGCCAAACTTCTAGTTAAGTTTTGTAAGTGTGTGTAGTTGAGACTAGGTGTAGTATGAACTAATTCACTCTTGATCGCACAAGATGTAACAACTTTCTCTGGGGGAACACGGTTAAATATATATATTTTTCTTTTTTTGTTTTGTTATTCCATTGTTTTATCTTTCTTTTTAAACATGCAAATTCCAAAACTTGAGTGATTCCTTTTTATTTCCAGTTCTGGGTCATAAAACCATGGCATTTGATGTAGTAAACAGACAACATTCCTTGTACCTGTTAAAAACCAGGATCCTCTTGATTTAAAAACTTTGGTGTTATGAAGGTCTGATGGGGAGCGATGTGTATATGAAAGACCAGCGGTCAGAGTTAAGACTGAATATTGAATGGTGGATGTTTTGTATCGTCTCCTTATCTCTAATAAAAAGCACTAAACTACTGATTTTGTTCTGCTCTTTTTTTCACTTTATAGAAATTACATGTGAGGGAAAATAATCTATTATAGTATTGTGGTTGTGGTGGATGGCGCCCATTTTAAAGTCCTACATTTAAGTTTTTTTACTGCACAAACTGCCTGATTCAAATTAAATTATGGCTGAAACCAATTTATTTTTATCATCCACTAACTATTCTGTCAGTAAAATGTCTAAAAATATTTTTAAACATGCCCATCACAATGTCCTAAATGCAAAGTTTTAATATTTTAACTTGTTCAGTTTGGTTTCATGTAAGACTTATGAACTTAGGAAATATTATTACCAAAAAAAAACGACATTTATTTCTTGAAATAATAATTTGTTATTCAGCTCTAAACTCCATTTAAACCAAACTGGTGGTCAGGTCCATCCATGCTGCAGTGCCTGTTACGACCACACGGGGGTCCCCAACACCACTCCTGAAACCAAGTCAAGACAATTGACACAGACGCTGTTATAAATCTCTGTTTATTAAAATATATCAAGCATTTTTCAAAAAAATAAAATTAACACTCTCGTTTCTCCGGCCCACGTTGAGAAGAGCATACTGTCGGCTGAAACTAGGTTGAAAGGCATCAGTGGTATCCAATAAACTGATCCTGGATGAGCTTTAAAAATACCAAACAATCCTAAAAGATGGTTGTAAAGGCAAAATGTCAATAGACAGCCGTCATCCACAGAAGGAAAATAATCTGGTGCTACTGACACACTCTGCACACACACTTTCCCTCTTGTAAAAAAAGGTTTATGTTAATACTATGGAAACACTGAGTGTGTTATTAATCTGACTGCGGGCATATTAAAAGATGCTGTGGTGATGATCTCACAGGCAGATTTGTTTAATAGGCCCAGAGGTTACAGGGAGCAAATTAAACACAGGAGAGTAATAACTGGATCTGCTCTAGTGGTGAATCACCGAAGGGTGTTATTTATGGATTTAATCCTGTTTTACTCTTCTTTCTTTAGAGAAAATTAAACATTTCACCCTGTATTTGTTTCAGTCACTTTGTGCTTTCTTGTGTTTTTCATACAACACTTTCAAAACTTCCTCCTCGTCTTTTAGTCCTGCTTTTGTAATTCTCAGTCCTGGACACAGTCTAGTCGGTTACCGTGCACCCAGTAACAGATCTGAGCAAACTTCAGAGGAGTGATGCGAACGGCCACATTGTAATCCCGGTTCTCCCCATCTATCTCCAGCCACTGGTGTCCAGAGAAAATGCCGATGACCTTCCTTTCCCAGCGCTCCAAACTGTTGTCCCACACTCTTCCGTACACTCCAGAACCGCTGGCTCCAGGGCGAGCATCACAGTGCTGGTATATCAGATCGCTGGACTCTTCTTCCACAGGACAGAACCTATACACCAGCTCCCCGGATCTGTCGCTGTCAAAACCAGAGAAGTGGATGCGGTTCCCTGCCAGGTCATCGGAGGAGGGAGCCACGGAGAGCCTCATGAAGGGACGTCTGTGAGGCCAACGCAGCTCCAGCAGGGCGTAATCAAAGTCCATGCTGATCTCCTGAGGGCCCTGGATCCAGCCCTTTGGTACACGGGTACGTTTCACTCTCACCCAGCGGACCAGAGGCTTCTTGGCAGACGTGAGGCCGGCTTTGGTGCTGTTGATGGACGGAGGAATCAGGAAGCCCACCCTGAGCTTCCGGGCCCCCTTCACATAATCCTTCCCATCGTGCACACAGTGGGCAGCCGTGAGGACGTGCTGCTGGGACACGAGAACGCCGGTGCAGCCGGTGGAGATCCGCACGGCTGTGGAGAAAGGGTAATCCAACAGGAAGTCGTCACCTTGGATGTTGAAACGTCCGTCTGCTCCGTAGATCTGCCGCCTCACACGTTTGTGCCTGGGCTTCACTCTCAGTCCTCTCCTCGGTTGATCAGTATCCCCTTCAAGCTCCTCGTCGCCCTCCACATCTACAGTGGTGAGAGTGCGAGAGCCGTCGGCGTACAGAGTCTCAAAGGCCAGTTTCTCCGTGAGCTGCTCCTTCTGGGCCTCCTGCTCTCCTCTGTGGAAGCAGCTGGAGTTGCAGTGAGTGGTGAAGTCCAGCTGAGTCTGAGCGCTGAAGCGAGAGCGGATGAGAGGCGTCGGTGCGTGAGGGACCAGCGTGGGGACGTGGACCGGCGGATGGTGAGGAGGGTGCAGGAAGGACAGGGTGAGAGGGAGGAGGAGCTGGAGGAGCAGGAGCAGGTGAGTCAGGAGGGAGCTCTCACGTGGCGCCATCATGGAAAACACTGCAGTGACACAGAAAATAATCACATACATGAGAAAAACCGCTTATGCTTGAGAGATTGCATGAATTCCTACATGTTTGTCAAGAAAGCAACAGTGGAAAACATTCCCAAACAAACTAATCCCCCATAAATCTGGACTCTGTCACAGTTGATTGTTGATTGTAAATCACAGCCTATGCTAGTGAGGTCAGCTTGCCAAATCTAATGTTGCAACGTCGGTCTGAGTTTCATCTGGTGTGGCAAGGCAACAATGAACCACTTGTTCCTACAATATAGATTACTAGGAAAATAGGATTTCAGCCTAATGGACACAAGCATTTTAATGTCTGCTTGGAACAAAAGTTACAGACGAATTCTGAAAGAAGAAAAGTTTAATTAAAGATAAAGCAAAGGGGCCACAGACATAGCTGAGAGGCCAGAACAAACTGAGTGGTCAATGCTCTAAAAGGGAAAGATATGCAGTGTGTGAATACTTGAAACATCATTGTAAAAACGCGTTAGTAGACTTGATCTACGAGACATTCTTCATTACAAGCTGACTCGAGGTGAACAAGAGCTGTGGAGCTTACAGTAAATACCCTCCAATCAAATATTTGTCGAAGCTCAGAGGTAAGAAGTTGTTTTCCATCAAACATTAACTACTTCACAGTGTACGTGGGGCTTTCAGGGCAGATTAGCAAGGACAAGGAGATACTTGATCCCTTCTAAAGGCTGTGGACCCTGAGGCACTCATTGCACGAAGAGAGCAGGTGTGTAAAAAGTGAAAAGAAACAAGTCGAGGCACGGCGGCGAAACAGAGCATTATTCCTAACAAAGGACAGGGTGGGGCCTGTCCGCACACCTATGTGCTGTTTTATATGGAGCTACAAAGGAGGCAGAGTTAGAGAAAGGAGTTGCTGTAAGCAGGGAAAGTACACATTTCCTTCCATGTTGGTGTGTCAGATACATGACAGCTGTGGCAGTTACAGAGGATCCTAAGTGGTAAATTGGCTGGTGAAGCAGTGTATCAACAAGGCTGTGTTTGGTGATGTAAAGCCAAGCAGTAACTGTTTTCAGAGCCCAGTTCAGTGTTGAAACACATTGTTTGACTCTTAAGACAAAATTGTCAAGCTCTCAACCCAAAAACCACAGGTCTTCCTCTGGGTTTAATGGCTCGTTCTGGTGGAAACCACAGGGAAATGATCCAGAAGACATCCCTGTGCAAAAGTGACAACACATAACTCGAGGCAAGATGGTGGCAGAGTGAGGATTTTTGGGATGCCGCAGTAACTTTAAGATTATGGTGCATCCTTGGAAAGCAAAAAGTAGTGCAAATGAATATTTCTACAATTATTGTATTGCATATATAAAAGGGAAAATATATAAACTTTACTCTTCAGTAAAACATGGAAGGAATCCAGAACCAAAGTCTGAAGCCTATAAAAAAAAACCTGTTCAGCATCTAAATGTGATCTTATCTTATCTGATATACATATACAACAAAGTCAACTGAAGTTCAGCTGCCAATAACATCTGCCTCCTCAGTTCCCCTTAAATATTAACAGGGAAGATGGTTAAAGAGAGTTTTGGGACAAAGAAACAGTATAAAACAGACTGAGAGAAGAAAACTATGACTACTATAACCTGAAACCTATACAGAGAGTTCACATTTAATATTTGACCATGTAACATTTGTCCTGAATAATCATCTGGATACATGAGGCTGTAAAAGCTCTTACCTTTATTCATGCAAAGACCTGCAAATACAGCAGTGGTGGTCTTTCCCAACCCCCCCTGCCCTGTGGGACGCCTGCAGTGACACTTCCCAATCTAAAGATAATACATTACCTCCTGATTTAGAGATCAATGGTCCGTGTTTACATCCCACTCAGGTTTTCCTCCCCATCAGACGAGTCCTTCAGGATCATTTCCCAGGTTTTCCTCCTCATCCCCAGTGACAGGCAGGTAGTTTCTCCCTCCTCTCTCTCTCTCTCTCTCTCTATCTATCTCCGTGCCTGTCCTCCAGAAGGAAAACTCTTGCTCTTGCTTTAACTTACAGCCTGTACAAATAAAGCGCCATGTGCTGAGTCGCTCTGGATGTCCGGACGATCAGCGCCTCTTCTGCAACCTGCACAGCTCAGACAGAGAGCCACAAATAAAAGGCTCTGGTCTGAGAAGAAAGTGTTGACTCTCTCTGAAGCGTCCTGCCTCACAGTCCTAACGCCCCGCCTCCGCCCGTCTGAGGGTGGACAGTAACAGTGTGATAAAAGCCCCTCACTGCTTATTCTCACACTTTATACTTTAGATTGTGTTTTAACATACAGGCTTCAAAACGAGTGGCCAAAATCAGACTTTACACCAATTACAGACAAATTGATATTTATGAAAATGTTTGTGCATAAATAAGTTTGTTAGGCCAAATCATCTACAGCCATGGTAACGGTCATTTGGTTGTGTATTTTTTAAATATCACTTTTAACAATTATACAGACTTACTAGGTGTGTTTACTTGTCCCTGATGCTTGGCCACCTTTTTCTTTACAGAAGTGAACCAACCACTGATTTATAGGCCTGCCATATATATTTTTCAAGTTTTCTAGTACGCCTTAAAATAAAGAAAGCTTCGCAACCCCCTGTGAAGCTTTGGCAACCCCTACTGGGGGTCCTAACCCGCAGGTTGGGAACTACTGCTTTAGACACACTTATAGTTTTAGTTGAGCTGGTATTTTACTACAATTTTCTCATGATTTGTTTTAACAGAATGAGATTATAGACCAATTTAAAAAGATAAATATAACGTGTTCACCATCTCAGTTTAGCATGTTAGCGTGGTAACTTTTGCTAATTAGCAATGAACACAGAGTACAACTGGGGCTGATGGGAATGTTGTAATCTATGTAGGTATTTGGTTGTGAAAAAAAGTATTGGCTATTATAATATCTGACTTGATAAAAGTGGCTGATAAAAAGTTAAAGAATGACCAAAGTTAATAAAATTCATCCTGAGGCGTTGCCTACATGAATGTGTGTAACACATTTTACAGCAATCTGTCAAATAGTTCATTACCACTTCAACTTCATGGTGGCGCTAGACAGAAAGTCCGGGGGTCATCAGAGTCATTAGGATTTGTTCTTTGGGAACCATAAATGTCTGTAAAATATTGTGTGATGATCCCTCCTGTAGAGTCTGAGACATTTAATTGGATAAGTTCAATAGTTTAATTCACCGTGGAGATCTGTGTCTCATTTCATGGCAAACTAGCCAATACTTGTCAGGATATCTCATGAAAAATCACCAAAGATCATTACAATTCCTCCTCTGGGGACGTGAATGTCTGAACAAAATTTCATAGCAACCAGACATTACACTGTCATATTGTTCAACTGAAGTCTTTAATTCACTGCAACATCTTCGGTTCAGTGAATCAACATGTCTGATGAATGTTTTTTCTTTAATGACTCAGTTACAGATCATAAGTGTTTATATTCTTCTTCATATCAGGCATTTGGCACTTTCATCTGCAGCCTACAGCTACACCCAAGCAAGAAAAGTCTTGTTTCTGGCATTTCTGTATAGCAATTATTATCTATGCCAAGAGTCATGATAGCTAGAAGTGAAGACCAACTCCTCTACGCTCAGAGATCTTAGCTGGCAGGCAGAGGACTGTTGGGGCATGTTGGCAGCAGCGTTCACCTCCTCGTCTTCTGCTGCCTGACCTTCATCTCTCACTTAAGTTCTCTGCTAACCTGTGGAATTTGGGAAGCTGTGCAAGCGTCGCTCCCATTGGGTGTGTTGAAGCGTCAGGGGTGCCGAAACAGAGCTCCCAGTCACAGCGACAGTGCTTTCAGGAATGCTGAGGAATCTCCCAACAAGAACACAAGTCAGGCTGTCGGCACAATGTGGCCGCTGTTGTCCTCAGAGCAAATGTCACCCCAGAGGAAACACCTATCGGACCTGCTCTTCATCTCTGTAATAAAATCTTCAGCTGGTTCTGTTCCTGCACAGTGAACAGTGTAGTGTTGACAGATTAACTGTAAGGTATATTCCCTCAGAAATATAGAGGGAAATCATAGTGGATGGGAAGGAAGGCGGCAGGCAGAAGGCCAGAGAGGTGTAAATGTGTAACTCTGTAAGCACGCTGTGTGTGATGATGGTATCGCTGCCTGTCTCTCTGCTAGAGAGAGCGAGCTCAGGAGATTTCCTTTCTGTGTGTGTGTGTGTGTGTGTGTGTGTGTGTGTGTTTGGCATTGAGCAACTTGGCCCCTGTTTCTCTGTAGATTACTGTCTTTCCATCCTCTTCTTTTCACTCTTCTGCTCACAAACTGTAAAATTATACAGGACCGATTGATACAGTTATTAAAGGAATAGTTAGACATTTTGGGCCTGGCTCCATCCAAAGTTAACAAAATCAGTTTACAAGAACTTCTAAAGCTCACTAACACATTATATCTTTATATCTGGTTTGTTTAAGTCGTACAGAAAGCAGTTATGTGCAGGACTAATGTGATGGCACCTGGCCAAGAAATAATATCACACATTTTTTTTGTTTTTACACGTTTTTTTTTACAAGTTGGTGAGCTTTAGAAGTGACGGTATTCTAGTTGTTTCCCCTTGTTTCCAGTTTTTATGCTGAACTAACCTTCATATTTATTATACAGACATGAGCAAGTTAATCATCTAATTCTCTGTGAGAAAATATACATGTAGTTTCCAACATGTTAAACTATTCCTTTAATTAAAAATTAGTTATTAGTTAGATTAATTTTCTATGGAGTAAAAATGGAAAAAACACATGTATTAAATACATTATTAATGCAATATAAACTAGTTAAACAGCAACGTTATTTTTTTTTTCCTCCAAGTTCTATGTGTTTTTCAGTAAATATTGTAGCATTTAACTGTTGCCAAATCAAATAATTCCTTTAAAGTCTGCATTTTAGAAAGCTGTAGTAAAACTTCTTACACATGATGGAAACTTTCCTGTACATTTTTCTCAATTTGTCAACCTGTGTAAATTGATGTATACGGTAAGAAGAGGGGTTGAGTGTCCCACCTGTCTCCGGTCTGTTGTACGGTAGATTAACAGTTTCTTGTCTAACACGTGTTTCAAGGTTTATTCATGGTTCTGTTTTTAGAAGAGGCACCTGCAGTATATTTGACAGTTTAAAGGAAAAGTCGGCCTGAAAAGTGTTAAAAAACAGCTGTAGGTAGTATATCTTTCATTTCCGAAACCATTTATTTTGTTTGACAGAGTTCATTCAGTTGTTCAGACTTTACCTGCTTATTAAGGGTCACAAGAGGCAGGAGCCTTGAAACAACCTCCCAGCATGCTCTTATGGATGGAGGAAAAGTGTAAATAAACAGTAACACGGTATTACAGACACTCACAGTACACATTTTAGACCATAAATTCGTCTGACTTGCATGTCTTTGGCATTTGGAAGGTCACGCAACTGAACACAGGGAGAAACTCCAGATGAAAGAAAATTCCTGGACCGAGAATCGACCCCGTGACACTGACACACTGCTGCCTCTGTTTGATGGTGCAATTTTTTCCCCGCTGCACTGCAGACCATGAGCTCCACGTCACAAATTGAGCTCATTCGTACATGGACACCAGGTGGGATAGTGCCTTCATCGGTCACCCTACGGAGCGTCAGGTCAGTCGTTGGCTTTGACTGCGTGGGCCGTCTGGTTAGTGAACAGACCAGATGTAAGTATGAGCATGTAAGTATTGAGCAGCACTGCACAGAAAATACATGCTTGCCAAAGACTTAAAGATGTGTTTACTGCTATTTTTATATTGTTGGCTGTGATTAAATGGCTAAAACTTTTGTTTTTCTTTATTATTTATTATCTAAGCATAAACTTACAGTGCAGATGACAGGATGTGTGTTAAACAACAAGACTAAGACTCTGCAGCCATGTTACCGGCTCTGTTACACTTGTTCTTTGGCTCAGCAGTGCTTAATGCTAGCTAAATGTTAACACCAGCATTTTAACATGTACACAATGACAATGCTAACATTCTGACCTAATGGTGGAAAATATTAAGTTCATCCTGAGAGGAACATGAACGTCAGATAGTTTTAGAGACATGTTACTGACATATACTAGAAATATCAACCTCATGGTGGCGATAGAGAAGTTAGTCTGATTCATCCTCTGGAGCCCACAAATGTCTATACAAACTTTCATGGGAATAGTTGTTGAGCCCAACCCAAAGTGGTGGACCATCTGTCCAACCAACCAGAGAGATTTATTTTGGATGAAGTACAGTATTTTTCTTGGTTAAGTCTCTTCGTTCAGCATTAATATTCTTTCACATTCAGTCTACACATAATTATGATATTACAACTTTTCTCTAATTTGTTTATCTTTTTTTAATTTAAAACCCTTCAAATGAAGCAATCTAAGAAGGATAAATTACTCTTTGGTTAAACTGTTCCACATTAAGACCATAACCTCATTATTGCTTCATTCTAAGGTGTCACAAGCCAAAGAAGTTGAAACTAACTGGGCTACAGAATGGATGACCTGTGGGACTAAATCATTTGTCTTATTCTTGAGGATATAACTGGATTCAATAGACCAGAAAAGAGAGCAGTTAACTACTGCAGCTCACTGTTTGTTGGCACTACTACCACTGGCGGTGGTCAAACATAATTTTCCGGAAAAGTAGAATGGAAAAAAACGAATTACCCCCTCACAAAAAACTTCTGGAAACACACTGAACACTACAGTGAGCAGTGTTTCCTCATCTTCATGTCTGTCTCTTCAGGCTCAATGACCCCTGACCTCCCCAATCTTCAACACTCTCAGTCACTTTCCCTGACCCATACTCACACTTTCCAAGATGATTCATTTAAGAAAATAAAAAATACCTTACAGACCCACTTTTTCCTCTCGCTGGAGAAACACTTGCCATGTTCATTAACATGTGACCACTTTTCAGGGAAGGGCGTTATTAGTCTGTCAGTGTATGACGGGCGAGAGGGGAAAACAAATGAAATGAAAGCCACCAGGTTACCAGCTGTCTGTGTAACTGGTGTCTGATTATCTTCACAATTATTCAGTGTTTGTGCAGGATTCCCTAATATATGTCATTACTGGTAGCTGTCGGGGCCAAGCTTGTTCAGCCTGGAGGATTCCAGATGTGTGAG